CAAGTGGAGTGGCAAGGGCAGAGACCAGACTTCAGTGAGGTCGGAAAGAAATGGAAAATGAGGTCAATGTGTTCCATTCTCTAAAAATTTGAAGCAAGACACCCTCACAAGTTAGCCTCTTGCCTTCTGGCAGAGACTGGGAGACAAGGGTGCTAACTTCCTTGATGAGTCCAAATTGGAGGATGGCCCCAAGCCACAGGCTATATATATATATATATATATATATATATATAATCTCAAAAGGGCACAGAAAGAATTTGCAATTACAAGTTTTCTTAATTAGCAACTCTAAAGGAAGCCAGCAGGAGGCCTAGAGTTAGGAGGAAGCCTACTCAATTTAGTGAAACTAAAGGTGTGTTAAGGCCATCTTGGTAAGAGTAGCCTTTCCTCTCTAAGCCCCAATTTTACTGTGTTCGCTGGGTCAGCAGGTCATGTGGTGCTTAAGGAGCTGGATTCCATATGGCCAACTCTGCTGTTGAAGTCCCAGACCTCACATGTTGGGGGCAAGCCCAAAATCCTCTCGGGGGTGGTTTCTCTCTGTTTCTCTCCTTCAAGTGCCTGTGCCCCATGGAAAAAAATCGAGAAGGAAAAAAAAAAACACCAACTTACAGACAGTTCCATTTTTAAAGTCTGAGACAAATTCAAATCAAGTTTTTTCTTTTTGCCTAAGGTCAGCGTGGAAAATGTTTGTGGGAGTAATACTGGGAGGGGGAAATATTCCATAGCTACTTTTGAACTAAAGAGAAGAGAGTACATGAACATTTTTATGCGATTTCTAGGTGAATTAGCATCCACATTCAGATGAGCCTCTGAATTCTGGGTGTGTTCTCTAAACGAGGGTCAGATCCGTTAAGCCAAGTAGCGCTGCAGAGAGGCAGACACACAGCAGAAGGGCCGCACTGCTATTCCTGGGCTGGGCTGGGTTTGCCATTCACCTTTTGAAAACTCCTTGAATAAATGAATCTGTGATAGAGAAAGCATGAACCGATGTTAGAACTTTCTGTGATTTATCAGCTGAAAACCGAATAAATCACGACTTGCTCAGTATTCTGCCAGCATCCCCGACAACTGGAATGGTCTTTCATTTAAGCTGCCGTGAAAATTCTTTAGACCCATGTAGGGCTTTTATGGCAGTTAGCTGTTCAGGTTGAAGATTTCAAAAATGCAAAACCACATACAACTTCTTCTCTCCTTGAATTCCTAAGAAGCTTCCTCAAAAGTGGGCAGACCTCAAGGCTGGTAAACATTGAACTTAATTACAGTCTGGCATTTAGGATGCTTTCAGTAAAAATGTAGATCTACAAACTCATTTTCTCTGGAAATGCATAATTTGTAAAACTCCTCTTTAGCTCTGAAAGGTGGTAGATGTCAGTCATCACAACAATGACAATCAAAACCATCAAAATAGCTACTATTAATTGACACTAACAGTCTTAAATAATTATGCAAAGTAGGTATTATCTCTCTCCCCATATCCCATTATACAGTTGCAGAAAAACCATGTTTCAGAGAGGCAGAAGTAACCGACCTTTCCCTAGACACACAGTTACCAAGTGGCATTGCTGGAAGTCAAAGCCAGGTTTGTGTGTCTTCTTCAACACTACTCTAAGAAGTTTTATAACCCTCCTCCTGGGTATACAGAGGCTGTTTAATCTGTTTAGGAAAAGTGACACTTCAGTTTAATTAAGGCTAAATTAATTATATTCACTTCTATACTTCCCCAAATGAAATTTCACAGAATATTTTGTCATATTTTTAGAATGCAAAGAAAACATACACTCTCAGAAACAAAAAATTCCAAATTTCTAATGTCCCCTTGATATGCACTTTTAGGATTGTCCCTTCCCAGCTGGGACAGCAGCAATTCTCCCTTCAGGTGATTCTGTCACCACCACCACCTCACCTTACCCCCCCTCCCCGCCCCTCGTCTCCTGTGTTCCTGGCCCAGTCTCTGCTGGGGTCATGCTGCTTGCCCTTTGCCTCCCAAATGCCTATTCCTAGGGATTTTCTGTTTAACACCTGCTTTTTTAGGCAACTCCAACATTGACGGAACTCAGACATGCTTTCGCCCCTTCCAGAGTTAGAACTTGTGCCTTCATTCCATACTCTAGCCACCCATGGAGCTTCCCCAGGATGTTTCTGGGGTCCTTTGTCCAATCCCTTAATGCAAACCCCTCACACAAATCCGGGTCTCAGGCCAGCTATATAGTCCCTCCCACATTCCCTGAGGTCAGAAATCTCTCTCCATCTTCTGATCCTGAGATACATAAGCCACTACCCAAACACCAATCCACCCAAAATACTTCACTTTGCAGACACAGATAATGGCTGAGAGTTTACATAGTTCTCCAACTTCACAACCATGGCATAATATATATGGGCATTCATGCAATCACTCATAAAAACAGAATTATTGAGAACCTACTACTTGGTGAGCATCCCAATCCCCAAATCCAAAATCTTAAGGGCTTCAAAACCCAGAACTTTTTGAGTGCCAACATGATGCTACAAGTGGAAAGTTCTAACTTAAGCTCATGTGGTAGGTTGCAATAAACAGTTGTAATACAAAAATATTATGTAAAATTACCTTCTGGTTATGTGTGTAAGGTATATATGAAACACAAATGAATTTCATGATCAGATTTAGGTCCCATCCCCAAGATATCTCATTATGTACATGCAAATTGTCTAATTACCACCACCCCCCCTCCAAAAAAAAAAAAAAAACTGAAACCAGAAACATTTCTGGTGCCAAGCTTTTTGGATAAGGGATGCTCAATGTGTATAGTGTGTAGTTCTTGTTCTTCGGAGTGGTAAAGAATAGAAATAAAACCCAAAGTGTCTGCTATCCTTGCCCCTTGAAAACCTCCATTAACAGTGTAATTCCACAAATCTGTACTTAGCTCCAAGCACATGCTAGCGCTGTGCTACCTGCTGTTTATCTCTCAGGATTCTCATTCTAATCCTGCCCTTCAGCAAGAAGCAATAAGCAAAACATTTTTGGCTATTAACAATAAAACAAGGAAACAGAAACTTAAATATAGATTTTTTTTTAATTTCTCTTAATCACTGAATTATATCAACAGCTCTGGACCTGCTAAGAAGTCCAGCCACCCACTCCTGTTGTCTTTACCCTGGTAGAACACCCAGAATGGGACATAAACACTTGACTTGGAGAGACCTCAGAGAAGAGCTGGTATAACTGCCCCAGTTTTGTCTCTCTGTTTCTCTCTCCATCACTCAATCTCTTTTTCATTTGTGGAAGAAGTAAATAAACTTTTTTAAAAAGAATATTAAAATTATGTTTCAGAGTGAGCCCTCTAGCTCAATGCTTAAGCACTGTGCAGAGGAAGCCAGGTCTCAATGGCCAACGGGGGCCTCAGCACAAAGGTGCACTGCAGTGCCCAGGATCTTAATGGGATGGAGAACTGGAGGAAAAAGGATTGGTTGCATTGTGACCAGTCGTAGTTGGGGGTGCACTGTCTCTGGCATAAAAAAAAATTTTTTTAATTATGTTTTTAAACTGTGTATGTACAAAAATGAATATAATTCAGATGAGATTGTATCAGTTTTTTTTTTTCTTCTGATTTTAAAGAAAACATTTTCCTGAGTCCCTCCCTAAAAGCATGGTAGGCCCTGAGGCTGTGTGTCTTAAAGATTGCTGTTGATTATGATGCCTGGATTTGCCATTCTCTGACGCTCCAGGCAAAAGACTAACCCTCCTAGCCTGGCCCCAGCCAACAAAATCTTGAGCACAAAGCCTTGGTAATAATGGGCGAGGGGGAGGAAGGGGGGGAGGTAATGAGAGAAACAAGGAAAGAGGCGGCCCAGCAGTTGCACTCTGGCAGGAACGTGCAGGTGGGCGATTCAACCGAAATCTCATCGCTTTGTTCAGGCATGAGGTTTGGTCATGCGGGGTGCAGCGGGTCTGGCCTCTGGACTCCAGAGCCATAGCTCTGCCCTTTAGCAATGAGAAAAAATGACCCAGGAGTTCTCGCCACATTCCCTTAGTCATAAAGTCCCGACCTGCCCCTGTAATCACTGAGCAATAGTGACTCTATCAGCAGTCCTCTGGAGCTGCTTCTGCCACCGCACGAATTCCTTCCAGACCTCGCTTCTCTCCACCAATGCGCACCCACAGCAGTTTTTAAGGAGACAGAAATCAGTTGGGCATTTACAATTTTCTTCCCATACGTCTAGTTCAACTTCTTTTGCATTTGAGCGCCATCTAGTGTGCACTAGGATTCGTTGCATTTAAATGTCCATAAAAAACTACAGGCCCTCAGCCCCGGCCAGCTCAAGGTAAATGTGAATTTTATTCAAATTGAGCTGAACTGCTACCCTTAATGGGACCAGATCAAAGGTGCTTCTAACACATGAGTGAGCTGGCAACACCTCAAGAGAAGGAAATGATGAAATGATAATGGTTAAGTAGAGAAAGACAGTGCACAGCCACTAGGATACGGGGCAGGACAATCGAGCAGGGTGGGGACATGAACTGGAGTTGATGAAATGCAGGTCTGAGCCCTTCTGAGGCCAGCCAACAGGGAAAGTCTATTTTATTTTTAAATTTTTCTTTTGAGAGGTTTTTGCTATAGGGCGCATGCGCTCGCCAGACAGACAGAGAGAGACAGAGAGATAGAAAGCAAGAAATCACCCCCCAGGGAGGATGCCTATGCCGCAATCCCTTCTCTTCCACTCTCCTCTCAGGATCTTGGGCACGCATGCAAACGTGCCCGGAGTGAGTTTAAGCCACCGGGTCCAGGACTCAAACCACTGTCAACTACGTGGGAGTCCAGCGAGATAGCCATTACGCTAACTGCTGGTCCCAGGAAAGTCTATTTTCAGGCCTGAGACGATTGAGTGCACTTGGGATCAGAAACAAGAGATTTGAAAAAGAGAGTCGTAGACAATGAAGGACCTACAGTCGCTGTAAATTTATAAACTCTTAATGATAAGAATGAACATGGTTTGAACTTTGTACGATGCCTCACAGTGTTCCTTGCAGGCAAGAGACATTCACTTAAGTGCTTTTTGGTCACATGATGGAGATCTGGGAGACATCCTTCCTTCACCAGCCAGTTGGGAATGCTTTCCAGGACCTTTGAAATGCATACAAAAGACAAAAGACAGTGTATCTAGAGAAGAACTAATATGCAGAGTGCACTCACATGAGAAATCGCAGAACGATACAAATATTCCCTTGCCCTCCATGGCAACTCATTTATTTCAAGCTATGTTCTTTGCAGCCACATTTGAACAATGGAAAAGATAGTAAGTTTGGATCCACTGTAGCATCAGACTGTACTTTCTATAAGAAATATTCTCCCTCATGAAGAGCAGTAGCAGACAGTGGCTCTGAATTTTTGTTTAGTTGGGAGAGCCTTTATTCACAGTAGAGCATTCATGGAAGTCTGATATGTCAACTGGGGCGAGTGGAGATGCTGGTGCACAGGGGGCTCCCCACTCCCTTATCCCTGCTTAGCTCCTTGGGTCCCTGAAGTATCTCCTGGAAACGCCATATTTGAAAACTACTAAAATGATGCATTGTAGACCAGTAAAACCGAACATTGTGAACAGAAACAAATGTTAATCTTTGGTCATACACATACTATCAAGTGCTAAAATGGGCTTCAATGTGCTCACCTATGAAAATGAGGTCAGAAATACATATGTGTGTGTGTGTGTGTGTGTGTATACACACACATATATATATATATACACACACACATACATATATACAGATATTTGGAATACACACACACACACACACACACACAAACATATATTCAGAAGGCTGTGCATAATATTAATGAAGGCACACTTTAAGTGCCCAGTAAAATGCCAAACACGCAATGGTGCATGATAAATATGAGCTCTCTGACACTACAAATGATTGACATTCCACCCCTGGAGAAGCTGGAGGTTCAGGATCATGATCTGTGGGGACACTTCAGGGACAGAGCCTGAAATGGAATGACATGAATTACCTGACTAAGGCCAGAATCCCCATAGAATTCCAAGGACGAGGCCGGATCTCTGATGCCAAGATGGGTCTGTACCTTTCCCACGAGCTGCTAACTAGCAACTACTGAGGTCCTCAACTTACTAAGGTCAAGTGCCCTGGGCTTCCCCTTTGGAGAGATTGCCAAGTTCCATGCAAAAGAGCTATCCACATCAGTTGAGAGTAGAAAATAAGGTTATTTTGCCAGTAATTATAGTAAGCCGAGAGATTGCCCGAACAATACTGTTGGGTGAGTGTGGCATGGGCTCATGGACAAAACCATCTATAGTTCCAACCATAAAAATAATCTATTTAAAGGAGATTTCAGCAAATCTAGGAAGTGAAAACAATTACAGACCAATTAGTCAATAATGTAATCATAAGGACTTTACTCCCTCAGAGCCACATACAATTTGATTATGACTTGACTATATTCTTCTAGAAAATGCCATCTAATTTTTTTCTTCTTAATCTATTGTTGATCTCAAGTCTTCCTGTGCTCTTTCCAAGCTACAGACCATGTTTAGATGGAGTATTTTAGGCTCTTGCTGAATAATGTATAGATTATTATTATTAACTAAATCAGAACAAAAAATAGGAGGCTCAAACTAATTTGTTTTGTACAAATGCCCATGGATATGCTAAGGAAGAGACAGACAGTCATGTGACTTACCCATTAAAGAGTCCACCATTTGAAGGAGTAATGTCTAGGGTATGACAAAGAAAGGAAAAAAATAAGGAAAGTTTTGCTTGAAAAAGTTCTACTAGTTAAATTTCATTCATCATAGATTCAATCTTAGCTCTCCTTTTTTAAAGAATTATTTATTTTAATTTTATTTGTTATTTAAATTTGCTATAGGGCATGTGTGCTCACCAGAGAAAAAGAAATTAAGAAAGCAATCTGCCAGATCCAGGACTCAAACTGCAGTCAGCCATGTGGGAGTCCAGTGCCTTAATCACCACACCACTTGGCCCCCTAATCTTATCTCTTCTATGATTCTTCTTCCTCAGGATCAGCCCATATCTAGTTCTTGGTTTTCCCTAAAGACTGAAGTTGTAGTCCTATGAAAGATAACATAAATAAAGGGGGTCATCAAAACACCAGAGAATAGATATATGTGTGCGTGTATATATATATATATTTTTTTTTTTTGAGAGGTTTTTGCTATAAGGAACGTGCACTCACCAAAAAGACAGGGAGAGATACAGAAAGCAAAAAATAACTGGCCTCACCGCAGTCCCTTCTCCTCCCTTCTCTCGGGATCTTAGACACGCACACGCGCCTGGCATGAGTTTAAGCCACCAGGTCTGGGATTCGTACGGTAGTTGACTACGTGAGAGTCCAACAACATAGCCATTATGCCAACTGCTGGTCCCAGAGAATATATTTTTAAGGTAGTAAAAAAGGAAGCAGTATGAATTGCTTCACATATCAATGTCATAAATGTGGTCTCTTTCATTTTATTCTAATTAAAACTTTAAATGTCATCACTTGCTATACTGCAGGTGGTCCAACAGCTCCCTCTGCAGGCTCTTCCTTTCTCTGGAATTTCTAACACAATCCACAAAGGGTTAGGAATGAGACTTCCATCAAAGGACTTGAGTACAAACAGGCATGACTTTTGTGACACTCATCTTTACTGAGCCTCATTTGTCACATCAGCTAATTAGTCTAGAATGTCTCTAAAATACTTTCTTCTTCTAAAATTCTATCTGAAATGTAAAATATTATGTATGGATAAAATGAACATCTAAAGCAATCAGCTGGTCTAAAATTCTTAGTGCTGAATGTTTTGAAAGACCACGTTGATATTAATTGAATGAATGATGCTGTCTTAGTACACAGGAAAGCATACACAGCAAAGAAAAGCTAAACGTGGTGGTTTGAAGTCTCCTCCTACTTCTCTGCAGACTGATCCTGAATATATAGTGTGAGGAAAGCTAATTGTTTACAAACTGGTTGCATTTGTTCTTCAAATATACCCAATTCAGGGCTTGCAGGTTTGGATAAATTCATGTTTCCAATGTTGTCTTACTGTGTATCTTGTAGCTTTACTGGTGCACAGACTATGCCTGCCTGCATTGAAGGAAATTACGGTAAAGTAGAAACATCTTCGTAGGGAAATCATATGATATGATTTTTTGGCTATCATATCTTTGCTATTACTCCTCAGAGCAGGAGAATCTGTGCATTCCGTCAACTTTACAAGTTAAATCTATGTCTCCATTGCAGAGAGAGGGAATTGGAGCTTCTTGCTATATTCCCTCCTGACTTCTGTTTGTAAGACTTCGATCCAGAGTATAAAATTGCTGACAGCTGTTATTTGCTAACCCAGGGCCTGGATGTGAGATCACCTGGGCTGTCAGCGTAAATTTGAGTTATTTTGTAAATAGTGACAAGGAGCCCTGAACATGGCCAGCTTTAGGAACCCTGAGGCTGAAAAAGTCAGTTCACATGAACCAAGCCTGGTATCCATAAGGAACCCAAAAGCTGCAGAGAATATAACTCCATGGAAGATTTTCAGCAGGCCTCCCTCTCTGGGAGACCTAAAAACCGTGTTTCCAAGGACATGCTGTTGCCCAAATGTGTAGGCTGGTCACACTGATCTCCCTCACGCTGGCAACTCCTCCATAAGGAGATGCCAGATAGAAACAGTGGACACAGCCAGTCCTGGGAATTCTCGCCCCACCCACCCGGCTGCAGAATCTTATGGAGGGGTAAACTTGGTGAAGCAGCTGACTACTCTCTGCTTGAAGATTCACAATAGACATTAGCTTATTAATGACCCAAAGAGGTTTAAAAGCAAAAAGAGAAGGGGTGAAGTCAGAGAAAAAGAGGGTGAGAGAAGCCCGTTATATTTATTTCACACAGCCTTTTTAAAAACTTATTTAGCCACCACGCCCCTTTTTTAGTCTAAAACTTATCAAACCCTGCTGAATTAGAATTTTACAAGTGTTCTCACTTGAGAAATACTGAACCAGATGATCTCCCTAATTCTAAAGATTCTATTTACATATCTTCTAAAGCACAATTCTGATCATGCTGTTCCCTCACTCAAAACGTTCAGGCATGCCTGGTGAGTACAGATTTCTTTCCATAGCATTTACAGATCGACCTCGACCTACCTTTCCAGTCTTAGTTCCCTCCTTTTCCAGCCACAGGTCTCTGTTCCTTCCCAGCTGGGTTTGCCCTGCTCTGTCCACATTTCTGGAGCTTTCCCTCCTCTGTGCCTCTGCCCACGCTGCCATTTCCAGTCAGAAGGCCTCTCCCAGTTTTTGCACGTGCAAATGCAACCCACTTTAAATCGTCCAGATCAATCTCCTCCGCAATGCTCTCTTCTCTAAACTTACCTTCATATTTAGGGCTCTTACTAGACGAGGTATTTGGCTTCTTGTATTGAATTATTTGTATACATGAGTCACTTTTCCTAATCTTATTGGAAGAATAGTTCATATGCAGTTGCCGCTACCATTCTTCCTTCCAAATAGTAGGTGCTTATGAAAAGAAAAAATCTGAAGAGTAAAATGTGCTGTTGCAATTAAACAGGAACCCCTTCCAGGGCAGAAAGAAGAGTGATCTGATGGCCAGAGACCTGTTCTGATTCTGCCGTGGCCCTTGGGGACTCCAGCCATTTGTTCTGCTGAGAGCTCAGTATGCTCAGCTCCAGAGGTCACTGACCTTCCAGAGTTAAATATTTGCAGATTCTCTTGAGTTACAATCTACTCTCAAAAGAATTTGTGACAACTTTATAGAATTAAGAACAAAGTAAAATGTAACAATTAATGGCAAGAAAGAAGCAAGTCTATTGCATTTTAATAAAGAAAAAAATTATTAATCCAAATAACATACTCTAACATTCAGGCCTTAAGAGACTAACAAGAGACAACAAGAAACTTATTTTTTAAATTAGGAAATCATCCTGAGTCTGCAAAACTGTCCTCATAAATGACTACTTTATAAATGCTTTTTTTAAAAAAAATCTTCTCTCTCTAATGCAGAGGTTATTGAAATGGGCTCCCAGATCGGTCACATCAGCATCACCTGGGACCTTTTCAGAAATACATTCTCAGTCACCATCCCAGACCGCCTGCACCTGGAACCCTGGGCTGGGGAGGGGGGCACAGGAATGTTTTAACAAGGCCTCCAGATAATTTAGGGGACTAAAATTTGCACATAATTCTGTTCGGAGTTAACTATATTATCACCTGTGTATATAAACTCAATTTTCAAAAGTACAGACTCTCAATCCAGTCTGTTATCATACTTTCATTAAATCTGCCTGTCTCTTACAGCTGATCAAGCCGATCCTTGCAAGTTCCTGGCCTGCGGTGAATTTGCTCAATGTGTGAGAAACGAGTGGACTCAGGAGGTGGAATGTCGCTGCAGACCGGAGTATGAGAGCCAGGGGAACCTGGACCACCAGGACCCAGGCCTCTGTGCCCCTGGAGAGGAATGTGAGGTCATGAAAGGAAAGAGAGTTCCATGCAGGTAGGTCAAGCATACTCTCTTCACAGACTCAAGAATCTCATCATTCTTACTTGTGAGAAACACATTATAGAACAAATCCAGATGGTCCTCCAAACCCACAGTTCTCAAGCCTCAGAGAGCATCAGAACCACCCAGAGGAGGGCTCACTAAAACACACATAGCCAGGCCCTGCCAGGCTGATTTTGATTCAATAGGTCTGCTTGGGGCTCAGATAAGATTGCTGCTGCTGCTGCTCCAAGGACCACACATTATTAGGTCCTAGGCTCTTTGGTAGTGTTTCCTTAAGACCAATAAGCATAGAAGAAAGGACACAAGTCCACTTCAGATAGAACACTTAGGGGTCAGCAGGTGGCGTGTGGTTAAGGCGCTGGACTCCCACGTAGTCAACGCAGTTCAAGTCCCAGACCTGATGGGTTGAAACACACTGGGCATGTGTATGTGCCCAAAATCCCAAGAGGAGAATGGAGGGGAAAGGGTTGCAGTGTAGTCCCTACGGGGGCAATTTCTCATTTTCTGTCTCTCCAGCAAGCACACACACCCTATAGCAAAAATCTCTCTCAAAAAAAGAAAGAAAAATAGAACACTATGTAAATTGTTGTGAATATAAAATTTGAGGATTTTTCCTGTTTGCAAACAAAATAGATTTTATCATAAGAAAGTTGGAAAATACACAAAATTATGAGAAAGAAGATAAAAATCTAATTCATTATATTGACTACTGTATCTTTTGTTGTCCATTTTTATACAGAATTGGTTCTTAGAGAATTTTCTAAACCAAAATGGAATCAGATTGATTTCTTGTTTTGTAGTCAGCTATTTTTACTTAGGACATTTCCCCCACATCTTTAATGCTTTTTGTAGCATGGGTTTTAATGATCTCATCATAGTCCGTTCTCTAGATGTCTTTAACCATTCTATCCTTCATATCTGGACAGAAAGGTTAAGAGAAGTTCTTTGGAATGATGGAAAGGAGGAGAAATATAATTGGCTTTCCATTCATGAACCAGACTTGAGGATGCAGGTTGCCTTATGAGTCAGTAGGGACCATGAAGATTTCTAGTTCTCCTCAAGTCTCGTGATACCCAGACAACTTGGAACACAACATTCTGTTATGAACTGTAAACTTGGCTGCATTTTTGTTAGTCTACTTGAAAGGAAAGAAGATAGGAAAATGATGTGGAGAGACTGATTGAGAGGACGAGTCCACTGACACACAAAAGACAATTTCAACTGCTGCCATTACTTGTCGTTTTACTGCAAAGTCATTGTCATTCATTGCAATTTCACCTTTATTTTTCCTTCTATTCTTTTACTCCATTCAATATTTATGACTACACTCCATACATTTTTCATTTCCCTCCATTTTAGATGTCCTATACATAGATTTTGTTGTACTAGGAACTTACTTGGCAAAAATCTCCCAAGAATAAACAAAATTTTCATTTTTCAAGGTCCCTTTTTTGGCTTAATGAGTTCAACATTGATCACAGCTAGCCAGTACACATACACAGAAAATGTAAATCTATATCTAACAGGGTAAATTATGACTTTTCCACTTCATATCTAAAAGTTCACACTTTTTTTTAATAGGCCTAATCTGTTCTGTGACATTATTTATAATAATAAAGACTGTTTCATATTTAGAGGCCAGGTTAAATAGTGGCACAGAGTGATATTTATGAGTCTGTCTTAATAAAGTTGACGTTCATATTGTCAGTACAGCAAGGTCATAGTTTCATGACCATGCTACACCTCAGACGTGGAGTGAGGAGAAAGAAGTCTTATTTTTTTCTCTCCAGATAGCTGTTTCTAAGTTCCTTTTGAGTCCTTTCCTCACCAGATAATGAGAAAATAGGAGGAGGAAGAAGAGGGGATTTTATTTTGCTTTCTTTCCTTCATGAGAGAAAGAGAGAGAGAGAGAGAAACACAAACCCTCTCAACATTCTCACAGCACAATCCCCCTCAGCCTTCCCAGGCAGCCAGGTGGACTGTGGAACAGAATCCATGATCTTCCATCTGGGTTCGGTTTCACTTGAGCAGTGCACCACCAAGCCAGCTCAGATAGGATTTTAATATAGGCCCATCCAGCTGTTATAACTTATTCTGATTAATAATCTGAGTAATCACTTCAGGCAATTCAGTTACATTAGCATATATAGTGACGTACAACTGTCTTGGTTTCACCGTGTCCTTTGGAAAGTTTCTAGTCCCATAGTCTCCTCGCCTGTGGTCTCCTAGTTCTGACCCTGGGTATCTGACCTTCCCTCTAGTATTCTCAGAACCTCCGTATCTCCCAATCAAGGCAAATAGAAACTCACCATACTGCTCTAGCTGGTTAAATGGGGATAAAGAACTTGTTATTCAACCTCCGTAAACTACACTTCTTTCCCTTCCCTGCTTTCTTTCCATCAATAGGATCAATAGGGCTACAATAGGATTTCCCTCCTTCTCACTTTTCCGAAATTATAATGGACAGAATGTTGGAAGAAAAAAAAAGAAGAGAGCAATGACCTGATAAGGGAACATAAATAGGAAGGTAGCAGGCCAGCTCAGAGATTGGTGGTTGAGTAAGCTGAATCCCACACGTGGCCAATACCATGGTTTGAATCCTGGACCTGGCAGCTTGAGGAACATGCCAAATGCATGTGTGTGCATGCCCCCTATCCCAACAGGATGAGAAGATGGAGGAGAGGAGGTGGCAATGTGGTCATTTCCCTCGGAGAGTGCTTTCTTGCTTTCCCTCTCTCTCTCTCTCTCTCTCTCTCTGGATGAGCACACATGCCCTCTGGCAAATTAAAAAAAAAAAAGTGTCTCCTAAATATTAAACCCATTTTATGATATAAAAACTCAAGTAGTAAAACTCATGAAATAAAAACCATGTCTATACTACAACAGAAATATAAAAGTCTGGAATAATATACATCACATTTTTTAACATTTTTATTTTAAAATTTTATGACCAAATGCTATTTTGATTTCTGAGTTGTTCAGCAACCACAACTCAGAACTTACTTACTTGAGGGGCCAGCAGATGGCATAAATGGTTACGTTGCTTGACTTCCATGTAGTCGCCCTAGGTTCGATGACCAGACCCAATGGCTTAAAACTCACTCTGGGCACATGTGCACGTGTGCCCAAAGTCCCAAGAGGAGAATGGAGGAGAACAGATTGCAGCATGTCCATCTCCCCATGGGGTTGGGGGTGATTTCTCACTTTCTGTCTGTCTCTGTTTCACCAGTGAGCGCACATGCTATATCACAAAAATCTTCCCCCCAAAAATAAAAACTTACTTGAAAAATAAGTCCACTTTCTGCAAACTGAATTTATCCCCTCGTCTTTCCCATGAGCTCCCTGCAATCCTTCTAAGACCAGGGCCTAAAAATATAGTAAGGCAACTGAATGGCAAGACTCGGGGGAGAGGCAAAAAGCACACTTCCTCCAACTCAAGTGGACTCCACCTGCAAAAATGTGCTATCCATTTTCATTTGTCACAATTTAAAAAGTAAAACCGTAGAAAGCTATAGTTATTAATTTTGATAAACCCAGGAAAAAAGGATATCATGCCTTTGCTTTCTTTTGTAGGTTACCAGATCACTATAAAAATCAAGCATATGAAACGAGTGTTGAAAAGCTCCAACATCAGCAAAATATCAAGGTAAAAATTATACTTTCTACATTGGTTTTAATTGCTAAATTTGAGTTTTGAAGGAAATTAAAAACACTCTTGTACCTAATCCTTGTTTTAAATAGAGGTGAACAAATATATAGATGCTTTATTTAGTGTCCTAAATGATGTCTCTTCTAAAATACTCACCTTCTCACCTTTTCTTTTTTTTTTTTTTGCCATGAAGTCACCAGAGACAAAGAGAGAGAGGAAGAAAGCACCTGCCACCCCCGTGGGCTGTGGTCACAACCCCTTGTCCATTTTTTCACCCGTCTGGGATTTGGGGCACATAAAAACAAGTCTGGCATGTTTTTCTGTCCTCCAGAGTTGGGATTTTAATTGTGTGGGCAGCCATTTGGGGTCTGGCTCCCTTACGTATTAGGCCATGGAGCTAGCCCAAAGCACTTTTCCTTTATTCACTAGTTTTTACTATTGTTTTAAGAAGAGTAAATAAAGATATTTCCTGGTGCAAGAAGGATAAAGACAGAAGGCTGACTTTAACTGAAATGCACAGATAAAACAACAAAATAACAGAAACAATCCAAGTAATTTGTTCCCAAACTTTTATTTTTAATAAAAGTGGTTTTTATCCAATGCATTTCAACAGGATTGAACTTCTCATGATAATTCCTGGCACTGAAGTAATTTCATGCCATTTTTTTTCAGATCCTTTTCATTTCAAATAATAGTTAGCTAAAGCAAAATTACTTTTTGAAAAAGACTGTAGTAGCATGATTTGTGAATAATGACTACTTTGAAAAACTCCAAAAAGTTTGTCCTCAGATAAGTGCTCCTTCTATTGTCCTAAATGTCTCTTCTAAAATATTCGATCAACTTATTTTATTGAAATAGTTTTATTTTACAAAGGAAAATAACACTTGTGTACAACCAGATTATACAGAGCTAACTTTTTTTTAGAGAAATTTTTGCTGTAGGATTCATACACTCACCAAAGAGACAGAGAGACACAGAGGGGACAGAAAGTGAGAAATCACCCCCCTCCCAGGGGGATGGCCACACTATAATCCCTTCTCCTCTATTCTCCTTTAGGGATTTTGGACTTGCACACACACTCACCCAGGGTTAGTTTCAAGACACTGGGTCTGGGACGTGAGCCGCTGTCGACTACCTGGGAGTCCAGCGACATAACCATTACACCATCTGCTGGTCCCCAGAATTAGATAACTTTTAAAATATAGCTTTGGAGAATAAAACATTGAGCAACTTTTAGCCTAAAATTACTTTTTTTTTTTTTTTGGTTCTTGGCAGAGGGTGTGTGTGCTTTCTGTAGAGGGTCGAGGGAGAAAGAGGGAAGGGAAAGTGAGAAATCACTCCGCAGGGGGGATGGTCATGCCACAATCCCTTTTTTCCATTCTGCTCTGAGGATTTGGAGCACACATGCACACGTGTCCAGTGTGAGTTTCAAGGTCTTAGGTCTGGGACTCAAACTGCAGTCAGCTATGTGGGAATCCACTGCCTTAACCACTACACCACCTGCTGGCCCCCAAAATTTTACCTATTCTTAGTGAAAACAATGGGTTTGTTATTAGCCAACATCTACAATACCTGAGATCCATAACGCTAGATGAAGACAAATACCTCAAAGTTACATTTGGAAAATTTATCAGAGTCAGTATACACTCAAGAAGGATACTGAGGCAATCACACCAAATACTAATCATAATTTATGTATACAAGTGCACAGTGGGAATAGTGTGTGCCATTTTAATGTCCTTAGAGAAATTGGAATAACAGAAAGTCTGGGCGAGGACCATAAAAGAACAATAGGACACATAATCTTTCATTGACCAAATAACCAAATACTTGGATTGCTTCTGTTTTGATTGTTTTGTTTTCCAAAAGTGTATTTAAAATTTTAGCTAGGATAAAGCAAACACCATCTAAATCCTCAAATAGCAGATAGAATTATGTTCCCAATTCAGGGTCTGCCCAAAAGCCTAGTGGTTAAGGAAACTGCATTCCATATAGCTGACCATGGTTCTGATCCTGGCCCTGGTGGCTTGAAAAACACACTGAGCACTGTGCATCCATGCCCCAAATGCCAACAGGGTGGAGAAATGGAGAGAAGGGATTGTGATATGACGATGCCTCATTGGGGGGTACTTTCTCCCTCTCTCTCGTTTTCTGCCTTCCTATCTATCTCTGGTGAGTACACATGCCTTTTGGCAATTAAAAATTTTGAGGATTAACTTAAAAGAGGGAGATTTGCAGTGATTCAAAGGAAATGCTGGGATGGCATAATGGTTATGTTACTGGACTCCCACTTAGTCGACAGTGAAGTCCCAGACCCAGTGACTTGAAACATGCCGCACACGTGGGTGTGCATGTCCAAAATCCCAAGAGAATTGAGAAGGGATTGGAGTGTGACCATCCCCCCCCCCAGGAGGTGATTTCTTGCTTTCTGTCTCTCTAGCAAGTGCATATATCCTATTAAAAAAAAAAAAAACTCTTAAAAAAAAAGGAAATGCTCATTTTTACAACAGGAATGAACTTGAAGATTTATTTTCTACTTCAATGAAAGAATGAGGAACCTGAAGTATCGATGCTAATTGCAGCCACATGGACTGCTGTGTGGGAAGAGATTCGGAGGACGGATGTGAATGCAATGTGTGTTGTGATAGAGTGATGGTGTCTACTGCAGTTGGTGTCTATCTTTCACTCCAGGCAACTGGCCATGCCATGCCCAGAGAAATGGGTTGGCCCGATAATCTAAATAGGTTTTTCTAGTGGGCTATAAAGTTACAAATATTTGGAGGGCATCATTAGCCTTTCAAAGAAAATATCCTAAACAACAAGCATATCCTCTCATTTACCAGTAATGGTAATACCAAACCATTAGTTTGATCTGAAGTAGCATTTCTTACATTCTCAAAATTATTTCTCTTCCAGGTAACCAAGAAGAGAGATTCCGAATTACTGAATATAGAATATGAAGAATTTAACAACCATCAAGATTGGGAAGGAAATTAAAAACTAAAAATACACATATTATCATTTTAAGCTATATCAAGAGAGATTATTTGCTTTCTCAAGGAAAAGTGTATTTACGCTGTCAATATTCTGAAGAGAGGCAGGGATGTTCACTGTTATCAGAATCCAAGCACGTGATAGAGTCCAACACAAAACCAGCACACGCTGAATTTCAAGTATAGAAAAGTCAAGTACTAGATGACTGGTGAATTCTGAGGAAAAAGATGCTTATTATCAAAACCCAAAACACAGTCAGTGAAACATATTTTGACTATTTTTGAATGATAGTCAAAGTGATAGTAAACCAGGCTTGCTTCCAATTGTCCTTAAGTATTATTCACAGATTATTTGCATCAAGTGCAACTTACTGTTTTGAGAGTCGAACAATTTATCTGATAGCAAGCTTTTTCCATGTTAGAATGTACATTTAACAGATGACTGCTTATGTAAGGAGATACAGCTCTCTTTAAACATATCAATGTATATAGTATGTGAACACTGTGGTAAGTGTATATTTGTTCCACACTACAATATCTTATATATATATTTATTTATTTATTTATTTATTTATTTATTTATACATATACACACAAGCTCAAATAACCCTGTTTTTAGGCACATTAGTTTCATATACGCTATTACTGCTTATATGGTAGATTGTTTTATTGCCAATCATTTTTGAATTGTTTTTTAAAAGAAAAAGGAACTGAGGCTCAAATATACATAAATGGCAAATATTACTTTTCTTGTTCCTACTCAGTTAAAGGAAGATGTATTGGTGGGGATGAGGGGTGGTGAGGTTGTGCTACAAAACATGACTAATTCCTGTTTTCCAGCACAGATGAACAATGTCTTCCTCTAATAATGTCTTTGAATACTTCTTCACACTAATGTTGGTGTGTGTATAACTAGACTGGCATCAAAGTAATCCAGTTCAGCTTGTTTTTAGTCTGCTACTTACTGAAAAATTCCTCTCTTTCAAATGTTCCATTATCAAATTTATCTACTGCAAAACCTTAATTTCAATAAAATATCATAAGCCCTCTACTGAGATTTATAAGACAAGTCTGTGTTTTAACTAGATATTCTCCCTCAATTTGCTTTACACATTTGATAAATAATTTTAAGCAGAGATTTTTAGAAATTAAAACATTTTTTTGTTGTTCATTTTTTTAGGTTTTTGCCATAGAGCACTGGAGCGAGAGAAAGTGAGAAATCAACCCCCAGGGAGGATGGCCACACTGCAATACCTTCTCCTCTGAGATTTTGGGCACACACATACGTGTGTCTAGCACGAGTTTCAAGCTACTGGGTCTGAGACTTGAACCATGGTCGGTCATGTGGGAGTCTAGTGTTTTAACCACCACGCCACTGCCTGGCCCCAAGCACAGAGATTTTTATTGCTGCCCAAAGCCAGCAAAACAGTAAATATCAGCAGCAATTTAACAGTAAATTTCAATAATTAAAACAAGGCTGCCTGGTCTTGCAGTCTAGTTATCAAGAAAGTCCGATTCCACATGGTCACCTCACAATTCGAGTCCTGCCCCCAGCAGCTTGAAAAACATGCCAGGCATGTACATGCATGCCCCAAATTCCAACAGGATAAAGAGTGGAGAGGGGCTGCAGCATGACCATGCTCCTGTTTATCTCTGGTGAATACACTCACCCTCTGGCAATTACAAAAAAATTAGAAAATAAAAACAAAGTATTTACTTATAATGCTGACAACCTTTTAGAAAAAGGTATTTCCCCAGGCAAAAGCGATACAGACCCTTAAAAATCCACTCCTATTGGTCCCACAATGTGTAGCGTTTTATCATTATTCCTGTCCCAATATTTTCCAAAAGTCAAAATCTATGTGTGACAAAGCCTTTAAACTATGATAACAAGGTGACACAGAGCAAAGAATGGTGGCATATCACGTACCTGCCCACTTCAGAATTTTCTGGAGGAGAGACCGGCAGTTAGCATAATGGCTATGTCACTGGACTCCCACGTAGTCAACCATGGTTCGAGTCCTGGACCCAGTGGCTTAAACTCATGCCAGGTGCATGTACATGCATGCCTAAGATCCCGAGAGAAGAATGGAGGAGAAGGGATTGTGGCGTGGCCATCCCCCCTGGGGGGTGATTCTCGCTTTCTGTCTCTCTGGCGAGCGCACGCACCCTATAGCAAAAACCTCTCCCCCCCCCAAAAAAAAAAAATAGAATTTTTTGGAGGAAAACAAACTTGCTAGAAGCATGATAGGCCAACTAAAAAAGCATGAAAAATTTTAATAGAGAAAGTGATCTACCCTAATCCCCTCTTGGTAATATGCTCTCCACCCTCTGTAATTCAGTTGTGCTCTAGTTAGTATAGGGAATATCGTTTCTGATGGGGAAAGAGAAGTAGGTAAATACTCTGTGGGAAGAATTCCTCTTCTGTGGTAAAGTGCTTCTTTTTTGCATCACCCATCTTTTAGACTGATCTTTTCCAACCAGCCAGTAAACTGCTGGTGAGGTAAGACAGCCAGTTTCCAGGTACTCTGAGGTCCACCAAGATCATGTCGGGTTCCAGAAGAGGGCCATGGAGGAGGCGTTATAGATCAGCTGTATTGAAAGCCCTACAGAGATGGACTGTCCTTGAGACTCCAATTTTGCATACCTGTGTTTTCTAACAAATTAGTAAGGGCCTAAGGAAAGGCAACCGAGATTTATTTGGTTTGTCTCTTATGTAGGTAAAATTGTTTTTTATTGCCTGTTCTCCAGATGGAGATCACACAGGAGTTTGGAGCCAAAGCTCAAAGTATCAATCACCTTGAGTTTTTTGCCTGTTCTCATAACCACCTACCGAAAGCAGGGCTCCAGCCCTGATAAATGGATGAAGCTTCTAGATTACAGACTTCTCCAGTGTATTCCACCTAGGACATGGCCAATAACTGGGGCCAGCAAGTGGTATAGTGGTTAAGCCACGGGACTCCTATATGGCCAACCACGATTTGAGTCCCAAACCTGGCAACTTATAAAAACCACAGGAATGTGTGTGCATGCCCAAAATCCCAGGAGGAAAATGGAGGAGGAGGGATTGCAGCATGGCCTTCCCCCTGGGGGTGATTTCTCATTCCCTCTCACTGTGTCTCTCTGTCTCTCTCTTCTCTGGTGAGCACACACACACCCTACAGCAAAAACCTTAAAAAAAAAAAAAAAAAAAACACACCAAAAAAATATTTAAAAAAACCTTAAAAAAAAAAAAAAAAAGACACAGCCAATACATATCTAACACACACAGTGCTGTTTATGACACCCTATAACTGTATTTAAAAAAAAAAAAAAAAACACAAGATGCAAGAGGAAGTTCTACATAGAAAGCATTTATTATTTGTTTTTCTAGTACACCAGTATTTTAGGAAAGTATGAGACATACATTTTTAATAAAATGAGGAAAAACTATGTAACAGTTGTAACTAGATGAACATTCAGAAGTGAAAGAAAATGGCCAATTCATCAGCCTACTTGTGGTTTGAAGGTGAGATTCTGCATTGGTATAAATTAGGATTAAAGATTCTCCTTTCCAATGTGCATTAATTTTTCCTACTTATCTCCTGAAAAACTTCTGAGACAACCAAATTTACTTCATGCATTAGGTACTAATGAGGAAAAAAGAACACATTAATTTGAATTGAACTTAATCATATTCTAAGATGTGGCTCCAAGATGGCTAGGCTCTACGTCTCAAAGTCTCGGCACTGTGCCCTCCCATGCAGCCGAGGTCCAGGTTACTCACTGCCGATGCTCTCCAGGGTGGCAGCACTGCTCCTAAAGGCTAGGAACTTAAACACTAGGTGTATCTTTGACCCAAGTGTCACTAACCACAGGTTCTGCTCTTGTGTTACACACAACTCATTCTACAACAGCAAAGACCTAAGAGCGGTTTGTCGCCTAAAATGGATCAGAAGGGTTTTCAGTCTGGGATGCAGAGTTTTCCAAAGCCATCTTGTTTCTTCCTCTCCAACCCTGCTCTTCTCTTTCTTATGACAACTGCTTCCCTCAATTTGTGCATAGTTTTAGATATTGTCTGTCCTCCCCTCCCCCCGTGAGTTTATCTTCTAGGAAAAATTAAACTCTCAATCTTTATTATTACTGATAAGTATCAATAGAAGAAACCTGGATGTAAAATGAAAGAAGAGCAGCCCCTTTATAAATCCTCAGGGGGTAGGGGGACGAGGGGGGCAACGCCGGTAAAAACTTCTGATTTTTCTTACTACACAATTGGAGCAAAGGCATTTGTGTCGTTTCACCATTTAGAACTCAATTGACTTCCCTAGATCTCTGTTGTTTCTTGCATAAAAGAACATCATTGACATTATATTAACTGATTACTCAATAAATATTTATTCCACTGATCCAAGTATTCTAAAGCTACTTCAGGTAAATAAACTAAAGATCTACATACTCGAATCCCCTGAGAACCAGTTATAACCTGTGAATGGAAATATTTTTGTAATATCCAGTTAATAAAGCCCTACAAACAATACTCATTATTCTTCTCTGTGAGTTTCTATTACCTAAGCGTCCACAGACACCACCTATTGTTCACTGAAGTTAATCTTTGGGCCAGTCCCAGTAGCACAGGCAGGAGGGTGCTGCTGTACAGTGCGGAGGCCCTACAGATGACGAGGGTTTCGTTTCCAGTCCAATTTCAACAGGTGAGCCAAGGTGATGCACACTTGTATTCCTAGCTAACTGGGAGGCTGGGGCAAGAGACATAGCATAAAAAATCTCTCTCTCCTATTTCCTTATTAAATTTTACTTGCTAGTTTCAGAAAAAAAATAAAATCTCTCTCTGTCCCATTCCCTCCTATACTCATTAAAAAGCAACATTTTTTTTTTTTTTTGCTTTCTTACAAAATGAAACTATGTTACCGGAAAGAATGAACTATAAAAAAGTCATTACAGAAGCAGATTGTAACAGAATATTTTATTTTTTCTCCATAGAGTCCTCTGAGAAGGTGCTATCTCCCCACCTTCACAACTAAGAAAACTCAGTCTTCTCTTAACATATATGAATTAGAGGAACTTCCTTTTCTCCATGAGTATCCACAGCTCCTAATACACTTCTCCTCTGTGCTAGTAGGAAGGGATTACACTGTAACTGAATTGAATGTGAAAACATTTAGTCCTCTCATTTTTAGGACTGTAAGTATGCTACCTTTGCAAAACATACACTATGGAAGGACCTGGTATTAAATGAGACAAGCATTAAGAGAAGATGAGTTTATTACACAACACTAAATTTCTCATTTTAAATCTCAGTTAGCATGCCTGATTAAAATACAAGTTAATTTTCTTTTGATTCCCATAGTCTTCACCTAGCACTGATGGGACTGATTGTGAACAGGGCAAAAGAGCCCCTTCAACATCTTTTGGAACATTTCTGCCCTTGCCCTTGCCCTTTAGAGGTTTCGGGTCCTAGATTTCTCCAGCACAGGGGCTTCAGTTTGCATGTCTATGAGATGTAGGTTACTCTATTTGAATTAGGGCAGTTCTCCTGGTAGCCAAAATTAACTCAGGAGACAATTTTAAATGGGTATCTTCTAGGCCAGCTGTGTGACATAATTAGAAAAAAAAAATGGCTTAAGATTAACTCTAAATGTACCATTAGAGTCAAAAGCTAAAAACCTTTAACAATGCTTTGTGGTGACATATCTCGTACAAAATTTTCAAGAAATTAACTCCTCTCACTATAATCATTTTAACCATTGCATTAAATTTTCCAGTGGTATCAATATATCTAGGAGATACATAAAACTATTTCTGAAAAGTATACTGAAGTAACAGGTCATTAAAAATCAATTTGATTACTAAATTTTATTTGAAGACTTTACTTGTTACTGGTGAGGACACTAAGCTTATCATTCATTATTCTTTTTCATTTTTAAGAGAGATTTTTTTTGCTATAGGGTGCATGTACTCGCCAGAAAGAGAGAAAGTGAGAAATCACTCCTAGGAGGAATGGCCATGCCACAAGCCCTTTTCCTCCATTCTTCTCTTGGGTTCTCGGGTACACATGCACCTATGTCCAGTGTAAGTTTAAGCCACCAGGTCCGGGACTTGAACTGCAGTCAACTACATGGGAATCTAGCGATGTAACCACTATGCCCACCACTATGCTGTCTGCTGGTTCCTATCATTCACTATTCTATACAAACAAAATACCAATTAAAGGCAAGAGATGGAAGAGAGAAAACAGGTCATTTATTTCAGTAACTACACCTTCTGTCACCAATAAGAGGGACCAAATGACCCAAAGGTGAATAAGTCAATGCAGAAATACAACCTCCAAAAGATCATCACATTCACATTTTCAATTAATAGCACAGACAGGACCATTTCATTTCTTTAACACAAGACAATCACTTACACAGTATCATAATAAATAAATATTTCTGTACTAAGACAGTATGAGAAGCAACTCTGAAACAGTGTCTGTAGCCCACAAACACTGATCTAATCAGCTAGAAAATATTTTCCTAGCTGAGATATTTTCTCTAGAAAAAAAAAAAATCACCAGAATTTTATTTAACAGGTTAGTGTCCTTAAAAAACAGGAAAATAAAAGTGCAGAGAGTAATTTCACTTTCTAATTGCATCCTAAAATACAACCAAGACTCCTTAGAATTATGTTAACCTAACTCCTTGATGTATTTTTTGTCTGTAAATTCAGAATATGAAAGTCATATTAACTTTGAAACTGCTGACATGTGATCAAAACTAACAGCACACAAAGAAAACTTTTTAAAAATTGTTATGTGAAACAAGCAATTACTAAGTACAAGGCTTTTGAGTTACAAAGCTTATAAAACAGCTCTACAATTGCCAATATCTCAAAGGCCAGAAAAGACACTTAGGAATTTTTTTTTTAAAAAAAGAAAGATATCAGAGGCAGAACATCAATTTATATCATATGAAACAACTTGGACAAGATTCTGATACCAAAATCACAGCTGAGATGAAGTTGAAAGAATATTTTAATTCAGCCCAGTTAAGCCAAAGTACGACCTAAAATCTATTTCCTTTTCTAAGTGAAACAAAACTTAATCTCAAAACTTTTAGGCATTTCAACAGGCTGGATTTCCTTTAATTATCCATGAAATATAAAAAGAATATTCTGATAGCAATGCACAATATGCTAGAAGAGAAAAATCTGTGCAGTACCTTCTTTATCAAGAATACATTAAGTCTCTTTCTAGAATTCTAGAACTTAGGAAGAACTGGTTTCACTCATATACCAAGACAAACTGCAAAGGAAAAATATTAGAATTTTCACCTGTGGAGGAAATTTCCATAAATTTCTGAAACAGTTAGTAAAGAAAGTACACCACTTTTCCAACCGAAACATCGGCCTCTTGAGCATGTTAAGTGCCTTAATTTTTGTAAGAAATGTAAGCTAAGGTTTCACTGCTCCAGTTAAATGGTACTGTACCATTCTTAACAAGGAAGTACTGTAGTTTTGAATTTTTAAAAATCCTCTTCCTAAGTAACATTGTAACCACAATGGACTTAAGAGGGTCTATTGGCAGAGGATGAAAAATGTCAGAATCTGTCCAAGTGTAACAAGTATTAGAATCACAAGAGGCTTAATGAAGAGTTACGGCTGAATACAGGAAAATAATTTTTAGGTCCCAAGTTCATTACCATAATTAACCCTAAACAAATGAACAAAAAGCCATGATTAATAAAATCTGTTCACTTTGTGTAAGTAATTCTAACATGATTGTTGGAATGGTTAAACCTCTGGGGCCCACACCCTACCGAGTGCTGTGGGAAAGACTCCCATCTAGAAGGTTAACGTGCAACATCTACTTTAACAGATTCTGCAGCATGGCTGTTGCATATGTGGGCCGAGCCTGTCTGCTCTCAATTGCATTCTGAAGGTACTGGATGCCTCCACAGCGCTCCCAGATTTCTTCGAACTGCCTTGGCAAGATCTCAGCCCCGCGCTTTCGGGTCAGGCCAGTCTCTTCGAGATTGAGCTCACACATCTCCATGTCATCCTTACCTGCAGACACAAGATGCCAGAGGATGACCAGAACTCTCTTTCGAAACCATTTTTTTTTTAAACTTTACTCCTGAACTACCAATTCTCATATATTTGAGAACTCTTTAAGACTTAATTTTCTTCCTCTGTGATGACAACCTAATAAATGAACCAAAACAACTTAAATATGTGCCCCACAAAAAACTCTTTCAAAATTTATAAGCACTGCAGTTAATCAAATGAAGTTGTCAAGTTTAATTAAAAATAAAATGTTACTTTCAACCCATTACAAATCAATAGGCACAATTAAACACCAGTGAAAAAGTTTTTAGGACACAGACAAGTTTGTATGTGCCCTAATAGGACAAATCAATCCAAGCAATTAACAAGAAATGTGATTTAACTGCAAAATTCCATTCCTTGATCCTGAATTTTAATTTTACTAAATTATATATAGAATGTCTTCAGAGGGTTTATAATCTTTGGTTTTACAAATAAACTTTTTTTTTTTTTTTACATGAATCATACACACCAGCCACAAGAAGGATGGGTGGTTTGTCAGGGTGAAGTTCCATTTGCCGGGCAATCCAGGGTCCATCAAAATGGGCGTACCACCAGCCTTTTTTCTTACTCTGAGGGTCTTTGTACTGATCAGCAGGGCGAATGAACGGGATGCGGAAGAAGCGCTGCTGTCGGTTCATTTCAATCTCCTGCTGCCTGGCAGGAAGCTGAGCTGCTGGGTTCTGCTGAGCTGTTGCACAGAACAAGGAAAGTTAGACCAGCGACTCAAGGGGAAAAGAAAACAGCCTTTAATCCTAAAATGTACCGAGAAGAAAACAAAAAAGGAAAGAAGAAAGGTTCCAAATAGTTACTTTAAAATAAAACATAAATATTAATTGCCTTTAAATAAATACAATACAGTGTGACTTCTTCGAATTGTCTTTTCCTAAAGGTGTTCCTCTGCATTGTAGCAAAAATATGTGCACACCCATGCACACACATTCCTCCACCAGCAACAACAAAGCTTGGCCAATTCCCATAAATGAATGTATAAGGAAGCTAAAATTAATTCACGTGGCAGGAAAGTAAACTAGTGTTATTTATTAGACATGTATTCTTCCTCCAAAGAGTTCAGGTAACTGCTGTAGAATAAGTTTTATTGAATTATTTATGATAAAACAGTAATTTCACAAATCTAAAGGATATAGATATGTGTCAATTTAATCACAATTTCCACAAGAAGTAGAAGCCATATAACAATTTCCTCTTTTCCTACCTCATTCTAGAATTTTAAATGGTCAGAATAACACAGACATTAAAACTTAGAAAACTTTACAGTATCTCCCCCCTACACACACACACAAACAAATACTCCTGTAATAATTTTCAT